TTCTATGAATTTGTTTGTGGTTTTTTTTCACATATAATTCAAGTCATATAGTATTTGTCTTTCTCTGTCTGACTTATTTCACTTAGAATAATGACTTCAAGGTATATCCATGTTGTCTTAAATGGCAGAGTTTCTTCTTTTTTATGGTTATACACACCACCAAGAGTAGACAAGTGTACACTAGCATTTATATTTCTTTGTCTTTTTGATGATAGCTATTCTAACGTGTATGAGGTGATATCATATTGTGGTTTTGATTTGGATTTCTCTAAGTTAAGTTCCTTTTCATGTATCTGTTGGCCACTTCTATCTTCTTTGGGAAAATGTCTATTTAGGCCTTTGCTCATTTTTTAATTGGATCGCTTGTTGTTATTGAGTTGCAAATGTATTTTATGTATTTTGGATACCCCTTATCATATATATGATTTGTAAAATTTTCTCCCATTGCATAGGTTGACTTTTTGTTTTGTTATTTATGTGTGTGTGTGTGTGTGTGTGTGTGCAGAAGCTTCTTAGTTTGACGTAGTTCTACTTGCTTATTTTTTATATTGTTGCTTGCCCTTAAGGTGTCATACCCAAGAAATCATGGCCAAGACTCATGTCAAGGAGATTTTCTCCCTATGTTTACTTCTAGGAGTTTTATGGTTTTAGGTCTTACAAAACCTATAGTAAAAGAGAGAAGTCTAGTTTTATTCTTTTATATGTGAATATCTAATTTTCCCAGCACCATTTATTGAAGAGATAGCTTATTCTCCATTGTGTATTCTTGGTTTGCTTGTCAAATATTGGTTGACTGTATATACTTGGGTTTATTTCTGGGCTCTCAATTCTGTTCTATTGGTCTATGTGTCTGTTTTTATGCCAAATACCATGTAGTTTTTATTGCTATAGCTTTGTGCTATAGCTTAAAATCAGGAAATGTATATCTCCCAGTTTGTTCTTCTTTCTTAGGATTGCTTTGGTTATTTAGCATCTTTTGTGGTTCCATATAAAGTTGAGGATTGTTTTTTCCATTTCCCTCACAAAAAAATGCCATTAGAATCTTGATAGGGATAGCATTGAATATATGGCTTTGGGTAGTATGGACATTTTTACAATATTATTTCCACCCATGAAACAGGATACCTTTACAATTATTTGTGTTTTCTTTGATTTCTTAAATTAGTGTTTTGTAGTTTTCAGTGTAATGATATTTCCCCTCCTTGGTTAAATTTATTCCTAAGTTTAATTGCTTTTGGTGCTACTGTAAATGGGATTGTTTTATATCTTTTTCAGAGAATTCACTGTTGATGTATAGAAATGCTACTGAATTTTGTATGTTAATTTTGTATACTACCACTACTGAATTCATTGATTAGATCTAACAGCTTTGGGTGAAATATTTAAGATTATCTCTGTATAAAATAATATCTTCAACTAGAGATAAATTCACTTATTTCTTTCCATTTTATGCCTTTTATTTCTTTTTAACACCTAATTTCTCTGGCAAGGACTTCTGTGATATGTTGAGTAGAAGTGGTCAAAGTGGTCACTTTTGTGTTATTCTTAATCTTTGAGAAAAAGGTTTTAACCTTTCACCTTTGAGAATTATGTTAGCTGTGGGCTTGTCATATATGGCCTTTGTTATGTTAAGTTCTTTCTATAACTAATTTGTTGTGAGTTTTTATCATGAATAGATGTTGGATTTTGTTAAATGCTTTTTCTGCATCTATTAAATTATCACATAATTTTTTCTTTTGTTCTGCTGATGTGATGTATCACATTTACTGATTTACATATGTTGAACCATCTTTGCATCTCAGCGATAAATCCCATTTGATTATGGTGAATTATCCCTTAATGTGTTGCTGGAATTGTTTTGCTGATATTTTATTGATATTTTTTGCATCCAAATTCATCAAGGATATTGGCCTGCAGTTTTCTCTTCTGGTAGTGCCCTTTCTAGTTTTGATATAAAAGTAATGCTGGCCTCATAAAATGAATTTGGGAGTGTTCCTTCATCTTCATTTTTTTGGAAGGGTTTGAGAAGGATTGACATTATTTTTTCTATAACTGGTAAAATTCACCAGTGAAGCCATCTGGTCCTGAACTTTTCTTCATTGGGAGATTTTTTTTCATGCTCATTCAATCTTCTTACTAGTAATTGGTCTGTTCAAATTTTTTTTATTTCTTCCTAATTCCATCTTAGTAGGTTGTATGTTTCCAAGAATTTTTCCATTTCTTCTGGGTTGTCCAGTTTGTTGGTGTATAGTTGTTCATTCTTTGTTTTTAGTTAAGGAGTTCACTGATGGTATTGTGGAACCTGACAAGCCCCAAAACTGCAGGAGAGGCTGGAAGGCTGGAGACCTAGTGAAGAGCTGCAGTTCAAGTTTGAAGATGGTTCCTTGGCAGAATTCCCTCTTCCTTCAAGAAGGTCAGTCTTTTCTCAGGGCTTTCAAGTGATTCGATGTGACCTACCCACATAATGAAGAGTAACCTGCTTTTCTCAAAGCCTACTGATTTAAATATTAATCTAATACCTATCCTCACAGAAAAATCCAGAATAATGTTTGACCAAATATGTGGGTACCACAGTCTAGGTAAGTTGACACATAAAATTAACCATCACAGCTGGGATCCTGTTAAAACTGCAAAATTTCAGACCCCGACACAGACACTTGCCTTTCCTAACCCCTCCCCCCCCCCCAAATCATGCCATCTTACCATTACTACCTTTCTTTGATGCAAGTTAGGGTGCTACGCACAGCACTTCTCCCTGCTTTATTTTATACTGCTGGGGTGTGGGACAGTGTCTAATTTTGCATGATCTAGGTCTAAGACTTCTGCTCTTGGATATAGTCACTGAAGGGGTGATGTGATCACGTCCAATAACTGACTTTATCCAGCACAGAGGTTATAGGGTGATAGAAATAAGGAGCAGTGCCTGAAGATAAATTTTGTGATCATGAAAAAATGGTAACATTAAAGCCTTATACGGAGGCAAATAGAATCCATATTTAGGACGATTAAGCAGAAGTTATACACTAGAGCTAGGGGTGGACTTCCCAGGCATGGATCCTAGAGATGAGGGTATTAGTTCAAAGCAAGATCTGGGACAAAGTGTTGGAAGCAGAGTAACAAACTGGCATCAGAAGGATTTTTAGTGAAGGCACAGAAGTTACTTGGAGATAGAAAAAGTCATCATCGGGGAGCCTGGGTGGCGCAGTCGGTTGAGCGTCCAACTTCAGCCAGGTCACGATCTCGCGGTCTGTGAGTTCGAGCCCCGCGTCAGGCTCTGGGCTGATGGCTCAGAGCCTGGAGCCTGTTTCCGATTCTGTGTCTCCCTCTCTCTCTGCCCCTCCCCCGTTCATGCTCTGTCTCTCTCTGTCCCAAAAATAAATAAATAAAAAACGTTGAAAAAAAATTTTTTTAAGAAAAAGTCATCATCAAGGCTGCTCTTCCTGGAGTTCCTGCAGCTACTTCTGGGGTTCCTTTCCCACAGAAGCTTCTAGGTCATGATAGGGTACAGTGAGGGGTCCACCAGCCATCTCCAGCAGCAGCCTTTGTGATAAGTGCATCTTGGAGTTGTCCATAAACTTGATGCCTTTGTACCAAGGGACCAAAGGAATTGGGAGGATTGGCAGAAGAATGAGTGACTGGAGGACCATGGCATCTGAGTTAGCTAGGGGATGAGGCCAAGGATGTGGAAACCTAATGATGTATATATAATGATGTGGAGAGAATAAGTAAAGGGGCCATGAGATAGGTACCATGGTCCCTGCCCATGAGGGAACTCAGACAACTTGGAGAGCCTAATTTGAGCCAGATACTGAAATTTCTTGCTAACATCTGAGGCTGCCTCTGTTCCTCACAATATGGCTGGAAGGTGTGCACTGCAGTCTCTGTCTTTGCACTTCTTGTCTTTGATCACTGAGACACTACATGGAATAACATGGAATTACTCCTTATGTAATAGCAATTATTCCCTTAGTTCACATTTCCAAGAAATTCACACACCACTATATGGGTTCCTCCTGTAAATGTACATAAAGAACTGTAAAGTGGCAAGTGGTAGGAAATAACTTGTGTGAGACCTGATAATAGAGGCATAATTTGTAAACTGGTGGTACCTCACCTGTGTCATCACTTATAGGATGGCAACTTGAAATTTGTTACTGTTATTATTTTAATTTCAAAAATTTCAAAAATGCCTGCTGGTGGTCTAAAGTCCAAATGTTACAGAAGCATGGAAAATAAATTGTACAAGTGTCCCTTTCAACTCTTGCCTGCAATTCTGAACTTCCAATTGCCAGTCGTTGAGAAAGGTCCTACAGAACTGGCCATAATGTGAGATTCTATGCTACTGTTGTCTGTCTGGAATGAAGCAAAATGTCTGAATCCCCTCCCCACCCCAAATACATGGATATAGAGCACCCTTGTCAGCTGTCTGAGAAATTAACTGGGGAGACAGTCTGACTCTCCCTCACTCTCAGGTGCTGAAGTGAGATCCCTCCTACAGTGCACTTTCAGAAAGGATGAGGGGGCAGTAGAGTGGATGGCTGAGAAGACAAATGCAAGCATGGTGAGAGGTGTGAAAAGGCCCATTTCCCATTCACCTGTGTGCAAATCATAAAACTGTTGATGGTGTGCCTTTGAATGCATTCAAATGATCAGGAATAAGAAGTAAAATAGGTGAGTCCTCATCTTCCTTCCTTGCACAGCCCTCACTAGCCAGTAGGCAACCCTTGCAAAGCCCCTGTTGTTCCAGGTCACATGGCTGCTTCTGCATGCCTCCAGGTAGAGCATCTGATTGAGCCACACTGTTTCCTAAGACCAATCCCTGAAAGCAGTGCGTGTCCCTTCTCATCAGAATTTATTGACACACTACCTATGAAGTCAAGCCTGGTGTACCTGCAAGGGGCCGCCAGTGTGAATAATGTGGAGGAGAGGGCAGGGCTTTTCAGTCCTGGACCCATTGCCTCATGCTTGGGGTAGGGGAAGAGCAATCTAGGACACACATACAACATGCAGCATCACTCTTTATTATGAAGATAAACAGAAATCACGAGTGGGGGAAATACACAGAACAACTAATACTTCAGGTGGTTATGTCACCTGGCCTGCTAGTTAAAGATAACTTTGGTTTCATGGTTAGCCTGGCCTCCATCCCCAGCCATGAACATGACCTTAGGCTGGAGTAAAGACAACCAAGATGATGTGGACATCCAAGGCTTCTTCTAGGCGATTTGCTTGAAGGCGTCCTCTGGGATCTTTCCCTCATTCTGAAGGGAAGGAGTTGGGACGTCAGAAGAGCCAGATCCCAGAGTTTCATTCCCAGGCTACCCCGCCTCCACCTTCTTGGCCTTCCTGAAGGCCCAGAAGCACCCATCTGTAACCAACCTAATGGATCCCAGACCTCACCTTGAGCATAGTGAAGACCTGACCAGCTCTGGTGTAGTTCCACTCATTGTCCTGAAGGCACCTGGAGTGGGAGGACAGATGACCTCCATTAGTACCACAGTACAGAGACGCTGACCATGCGATGCTAAATATATGCCACCTTTTTGCTGGTATTCATGTACCACCAGTATGAGCACTATGTGTAATGGTGAAGAAAGACCTAGTGAAAATGTCTATCACATTGACACAAAATGCCATGCCCACTAGACTTCAAAACAGAAAATTAGAGCTCTCCAAAGAACAAGGGAGTTTAATATATGTTGCTAAAGAAAAACATTCAAGTAGATAAATGGAAATTTATTAAAAGTACAAGTTTCCAATCATTTTTTATTGAGATATAATGTACATACCATTGTGTTATTATTTTCGTGTACATACCATTTTAAAGTGTACAATTGTTTTCTTAGTATATCCACAAGATTGCTCAACCATCACCACTATTTAATTCCCAAATAATTTTATCACCTCAAAAAGAAACTCCCTAGACATTAGACATGGCTCCCTATTCCTCCCCTTTCCCCAGGCCCTGGAAACCACTAATCTGCTTTTGGTCCCTGTGGATTTGCCTATGCTGGACATTTCATAGAGATGGAATCATACACTATGTGACCTTTTGAGGCTGGCTTCTTTCTCAGCATAATGTTTTCAAGGTTCATCCATGTCATGGCATACATCCGAACTGTATTTTTTTCTATGACTGAATGATATTCTACCATATGAATGTAGCAGTTTCGTTTATCCATTTATCAGCTAAAGGGCATTTGGGTTGTTTCCACTTTTTGGCTATTATAGATAATGCTGCTATTAACGTTCCTGTACAAGTTTTAGAGTGAACATACCTTTATTTCTCTTGGTGTATACTTAACAGTGGGATTCCTGGTTTATATGGTAACTTCATTTAACATTTTAAGGAACTGCCAAAACGTTTTCCCTAACCACTGCTCCATTTTACACTCATACTTGTAATATATGAGAGTTCTAATTTACTCACATCCTCACCTATGCTGATCTTCCATTTCAGTGACTAAAGCCATCTTCATGACTGTGAAGTGGTATCTCATTGTTTTTGATTTGCATTCCCTAATGACTAATGATGTTAGGCATGTTTTCATGTACTTGTTGCCCGTTTATTTGTATATCTTAAGATAAATGTTCATCAAACAATTTCCCCATTTTTAAATTGGGTTGTCTTCCTATCATTGAATTGTTAGTCTTTCAGGTATGCTTGATAGTAGACCTTATCACATATGAGATTTGCAAATATTTTCTACCATTCTGTAGGTTGTATTTATATTTTCTCAGCAGTGTCTTTTGATGCATGAAGGCTTTTAATTTTGATAAAGTCTAATTTATTTGTCTGTTTTTATTTGGTTGTTTGTGTTTTCGTGTCATATATGAGACCATTATCTATTTTAAGTTCATGAAGGTTATACACTTATATTTTATTCTAAGAGTTTTTATAGTTACAGATCTTACATTAGATCTTTAATCAATTTGAGTTGATATGCGTGGCATGAGTCAAATTTATTTTTATTTATTTATTTATTTATTTTTGCATGTGGATATCCAGGTGTCTCAGCATTATTTGTTGGGAAGATTTTTTTTTCTTCATTAATTTTTTTTGGCACTTAGCTGGAAATCAATTGACTATAAATGTCAGGGTTTATTTCTGGAGTCTTAATTCTATTACACTGACCTATATGTCTACCCAAATTTTAGTACCATGCAATCTTGATTATAATACCTTACCAATGAATTTCAAAATTGTGAGGATTGGGAATTCCGAGTCCTCCAACTTTATTCTTCACTTTAAATATTGTTTTGGCTATTCTGAATTCATTGCATTTTAATGTGAATTTTAGGGTCACTTTATCAATTTCTGGAAAGCAGCAAACTGGGATTTTGATACGAATTATGTTGAATATGTACACCACCTTAAGTAGTATTTCTATCTTAAAAAGGTTTTCAATTCATGAACATAGCATGTCTATTCATTTTTTAGGTCTTCAGTTTATTCCAACATATTTGAATGAACTTGTGTATCGATATTCTAATAGTTTCTTAGTGAATTACCTAGGATTTTCCATCTGCAAGGTCTTGTCATAGGAACATTATAATGTTTTAAAAGTGATGAATGGATAAAGAAATTGTGGTTTATATACACAATGGAATACTACGTGGCAATGAGAAAAAATGAAATATGGCCTTTTGTAGCAACGTGGATGGAACTGGAGAGTGTGATGCTAAGTGAAATAAGCCATACAGAGAAAGACAGATACCATATGGTTTCACTCTTATGTGGATCATGAGAAACTTAACAGGAACCCATGGGGGAGGGGAAGGAAAAAAAAAAAAGAGGTTAGAGTGGGAGAGAGCCAAAGCATAAGAGACTGTTGAGAACTGAGAACAAACTAAGGGTTGATGGGGGGTGGGAGGGAGGAGAGGGTGGGTGATGGGTATTGAGGAGGGCACCTTTTGGGATGAGCACTGGGTGTTGTATGGAAACCAATTTGACAATAAATTTCATATATAAATTAAAAAAATAAGGTTTTAAAAGTTTTTAATATATATCATCATAAAATTAGGATACTTTATTCATAGGCCTTCTTTTTTGGGGAAGCAAAATATCCAAATACTTATTTTTCAAATTGCTTATGCATTCCTATTTATTCTCCCAGCTCCCTCTTATTCCCCTGTATACCCAATCTCACTTCTGAGACCACTCGGGTTTCATCCCAGACTGAGTGGAGAAAGCCTGCACCATTTCCTGCTGCTCCTTGGAGAGGATGAACACAGAGCTGGAAGTGGATGAAGACACTGGGATGGAGGACATACTCTGAGTCTCATTTGGGCTGGCATCTCTCACAAACAGCTGGTCATTCACGATGCATAGACTGGAGGAAAAATGGACCCTCAGACAACTGACAAATGGACAATCCCACACCCCTAACAATGACCCTGCTGCCACTGTCTCTCAGCAACCAGATTCCTTCCATACCCCTAACTGTGCCTGTCCCATAGCTTCCCTGGGTGGTAACTCTAGCCCTCCCACAGATGCACCTGTGGAGAGTTTGTCTACTAGCTTCACTAGATTTGTAAGTTTAAACCCAATGCATTTATTATGCAAAAACAGTCCAAGGGGCAGGATAGTCTAATACCATTTTCAGAGGAAGATGCTGTTTCACTGAAGGATTATGTGATTTGGCCAAGGTCACTCACCTAGTGAATGTTGGGGTCAGGAAAATAACACAATGCTTTGACTCCAGAGCCCACGCTCTTAACCACTAGGCAAGAATAATACTTTCCACAATACTGACAAAACCTCAAAGACCTACAGTGCTACATTCCCAAACCCCTGAATCTCAGCTGAATGGGGTGTTTCTACACACAACACAGCACTCACCTGGAATTGTTGGTAGGTGTAGCAATAAAGGTCCGGGTGAAGGCGCGAACAGAACCCTGAGACCTTCCTTCCACTTCAACAACAAACAACAAGCAACTGTTCAGTTCATTAGAACTGAACATGCTTCACATGCTTACATAGCATTCCCCAGTCAGAGTTTAACTTGATATTCATGTTGAAGGGTACAATTGTTCTATGAAAGTCAGGATGCCGGGAATGGGGAGGGCAATAGGAACAGTCTGCTCCCAGTGACACAGACCTTTTTATGTGCTAGGCCCTGTGTAAATAACTTTATGAATTCATTTGATGCATTTTCACAGGCACACAAAAGATGGGTGTTATTAGCCCCATTTTGAAAATGAGGAAACTTGGAAGCTTAATTAATGGGCCCTCCTTCTCCGAGTGAGGATCTGGGATGAGAGCCATCAAGCTACATAGCCTGTGTCCCTAACGCCTGAGTTCTGCAGGGCAGATGGGCATGGACCCATGTCAGATCAGGATGGTTTGGGAGCTGAGTGGAGGCAAGAGAACACTGCAATATGAAGAGAAGGGGAAAGAAAGTTGAGAGGGAGCCCAACCAGAGGGAAGGGAGCAGTGGGGAATCTGCAGAGGGGGTCCAACATATACTCACCTTCCTTGAACACCCCATTGACAGAGAAGCAGAGCATCATCTCCTAAAAAAGAATAACCCAGGTGCTAAGTCACCTAAACTTCCTACCCAGCTGTGGCTTTCTAGAGCTGCCCTTGGGAGGAAGCAGGTGCTCACCGTATGGAACCACATGTCCACCACGAAGGAGCTGATGTCATGCTGAGTTTTGGGCAGTGTGCTGAGGGAGCACACAATGTCATGTTTTGTATGCTTCAGCAGCTGAACACGCATATCTATAGGGGGGAAGAGAAACAAGTGAAGGTCAGGGGCTGCCACACCTTGTGCCTTATGATTACCTCCTCACCCCCCCCCCTTCTCTGCACAATCTTCCCCATCAAACACGCACAGGGGTCCTTGATCTTCTTCATATTCCTGCTTTCCTTGAAGTACTTGCATAAGCTGCTTCTAGGGAGACAAAGAGGAAGAGGAGGTGATAGTCTGGCCAGTGTGGGTGTTTCCAGGAGCTGTCCTTCATCCACTGGGGAGTCACACAACCCAGGATCAGAGTCTGAGCTTTTCTACTCACGGGGCTGGGTCTTTGGGGTTGAAGGGAATGGTCAGGGAGAAGCAGGCCTTGTAGTGGTAAGCACAGAGGAGACCTTGGCGGTCTTCAGAGTCATAGATCAAATAGTACCTGTGGGGAAGCAATGAGGATAGTATATCTCTGGGGTCCGGACCTCAAATGAGACTTGAGAACCCCCATGAACAGACCTTTCTCAGCATCCAGTCCCCATTTCTTGTGGTCTCTAAAGTACTTACTGCTGAAGAAATTGCAGGATTAGACTCTTTAGTTTCTCAGATCCTCTGGAGCTTTCCTGTAATTAAAAGACATTTGAGACTATGTAGCTGATAAAGCCTCCCTTGTAATACCCCAAATGTTGTTTGATCCTACTTCCTCACCTTGCTGGACTTTATTAAGTATGGGGCATCAGTGTCAATGATAATTGCAGGGGGTAACGTCTGGCCATCCTGGAGAAGGGAAGAGGAAGTCAGCAGTGGAGACCAGGGAGGTGGCCCTGGATACTTAGGGAAAAGGATGAGCCCAGGAGAGGATGAGGGTCAGAAGACAGGTGTGAAAGGGCACTAGAAATGCCCTTTCTTGCCAGGGGCAAGATTACAATGGGTGTCTTCATCATGGGGTCCTGGAAGTCTCTACTATTATATGCAACAATGTGTGTGTGTGTGTGTGTGTGTGTGTGTGTGT